ACACAAGATCATGGTGATGCATAACAACGAGAGGGGAGAGTGTTGTCTACGTACCCTCATAGACCGGCAACGGAAGTGTTGACACAACGTAGAGGAAGTAGTCGTACGTCTTCCCGATCCGACCGATCCAAGCACCGAACATACGGAACCTCCGAGTTCTAGCACACGTTCAGCTCGATGACGATCCCCGGACTCCAATCCAGCAAAGTGTCGGGGAAGAGTTCCGTCAGCACGACGGCGTGGTGACGATCTTGATGTTCAACTGTCGCAGGGCTTCGCCTAAGCACCACTACAATATTATCGAGGATTATGGTGGAAGGGGGCACCACACACGGCTAAGAAAATGATCACATGGATCAACTTGTGTCTAAGGGTGCCCCCTGCCCCCGTATATGAAGGAGCAGGGGGAGGAGGCCGTCCGGCCCTATGGCGCGTCAAGGAGGAGTCCTCCTCCTAGTAGGAGTAGGACTCCTACTAGGAGGGGGAAGGAAGTGGTGAGGGAGAAGGAAAGGGTGGCGCCGTCCCCCCTCTCCTAGTCCAATTCGGACCAGGGGGAGGAGGCGCGCGGCCCATGCTGGCTGCCCCTCTCTCTCTCCACTAAGGCCCATATGGCCCATTACTTCTCCCGGGGGGTTCCGGTAACCCTCCGGCTCTCCGGTTTTCTCCGAAATCACCCGGAACACTTCCGGTGTCTGAATATAGCCGTCCAATATATCAATTTTTATGTCTCGACCATTTCAAGACTCCTCGTTATGACCGTGATCACATCCGAGACTCCGAACTAACTTCGGTACATCAAAACTCATAAACTCATAATATAACTGTCATCGAAACCTTAAGCGTGCGGACCCTACGGGTTCGAGAACAATGTAGACATGACCGAGACACATCTCCGGTCAATAACCAATAGCGGAACCTGGATGCTCATATTGGCTCCCACATATTCTACGAAGATCTTTATCGGTCAGACCGCATAACAACATATGTTGTTCCCTTTGTCATCGGTATGTTACTTGCCCGAGATTCGATCATCGGTATCTCAATACCTAGTTCAATCTCGTTACCTGTAAGTCTCTTTACTCATTCCGTAATACATCATCCTTCAACTAACTCATTAGTTGCAATGCTTGCAAGGCTTAAGTGATGTGCATTACCGAGAGGGCCCAGAGATACCTCTCCGACAATCGGAGTGACAAATCCTAATCTCGAAATACGCCAACCCAACAAGTACCTTCGGAGACACCTGTAGAGCACCTTTATAATCACCCAGTTAGGTTGTGACATTTTGTAGCACACAAAGTGTTCCTTCGGTAAACGGGAGTTGCATAATCTCATAGTCATAGGAACATGTATAAGTCATGAAGAAAGCAATAGCAACAAACTAAACGATCAAGTGCTATGCTAACGGAATGGGTCAAGTCAATCACATCATTCTCCTAATGATGTGATCCCGTTAATCAAATGACAACTCATGTCTATGGTTAGGAAACATAACCATCTTTGATCAACGAGCTAGTCAAGTAGAGGCATACTAGTGACGTTTAGTTTGTCTATGCATTCACACAAGTATTATGTTTCCAGATAATAAAATTCTAGCATGAATAATAAACATTTATCATGATATAAGGAAATAAAATAATAACATTATTATTGCCTCTAGGGCATATTTCCTTCAACATCTTCAGGGGGAGTTCTTCTATATCTTAAAATCAAATTCCTCAATATCAGTACTTACACTTCATATGTTTTTCCCCGTTGAAAACTCAACCTATATTGTCATCAATCACCAAAAAGGGGGAGATTGTAAGTGCATCTAGTGCCCCTTAGTGATTTTGGTGTATTGAAGACTTATAGGTTAAGGGACTAATGCGTTTGTGAGTGTACACATGTCTATTAGTCTATGAGGAGTTTGATATTTACAGAGAAAGTCGACCCCTAAAATGAAGTTCTTCGACTGAAGACTTTGGTATTCTGAAGACTTTGAAAGTGAAGAAATTGGTGTGACCTTGAAGACTTGGTATTCGTTCAAGGAACGTGAAGCGTGAAGACTTTTGTTTTTGTAGTTTCATTTTCTCTTTCTTGAGTCATAGGAAACACCGTACTGTTAAAGGGGGTCGAGGAAATACTAAGGAAAAATTTCCACGTGATGCTCAACTCAAAATCCTACACCTACCAATCCCTTCGAGTGAAGCCATTGGAAATCTTATACAGTTCAGTCAATTTCTTCAGTGACAGAGACGAAGTTCTTCTGGTCTTTGAGGAATTTGTTCTGACTGAGGAGTTAGGAATTCGCCAGTGCGGATTGCCTACACAGTGAGGAACATGATAGCCCTGAGGATTTTGCTACTCAAAATTCCGACCGTTGTTGTGCTATGCGCCAGCTGTCCCAAAATATCTATCCACCTAACGGTCATATCATTGAAAGGCATTTATGTCTTATCATGTCGGGCTTCTCCCTAGGCTATAAATAGCCGCCCCCTACAACCACTAGCTGGTTGGCTGCTCCGAGAGAAACTGACACTTGTCATTTGAGAGCAACCCATCCTCCGAGGACTTTGAGCGAAAATCATCAAGTGAGGAAAAACCAAAAATCCAAACCCAAACACCTACAAACCCCAAGTGATTGAGCATCACTGAAGAGATTGATCATGTGTGGATCTGACGCTTGTTACCTTTGAAGACTGTGCTTCTTCCAGACGGTTAGGCGTCATGGTCTAGAGCATCCAAGAGGAATTGTGGATCGCCGAGTGACCAAGATTGTGAAGGTTCGGAAGTCACCTGAAGACTTACCACGAGTGATTGGACGAGGTCTGTGTGACCTTAGTTCAAGGAGAATACGGTGAGGACTGGGTGTCCTGAGCTGCGTGTTCAGGACTGGGTGTCCGGGACTGTGTGTCCTCGAGTTTAAATACTCAGCCGCTCCAACCAGACGTACAACTGAGACAGCAGTTGGAACTGGTCTACCAAATCATTGTCTTCACCAAGCTTACTGGTTCTATTTCCTCAACTCTTTCATTTCCTCATAAATGTGTTGTGTGCTTGTTCATATCTGTGTTTGAAGACTTTAACTGAAAACTTTCTCAATTTTCTCAGTTCAATTTCTTCAGTCTGTTTGTCTTCATCTTGTGTTATCATGTGCTTACGCTACCTGTACACTGTGTCTGTCTTCATTTCATCATGATGACCATGCTTGTATTCTGTTATGTTTACTTTTGAGTACTTATTCCGCTGCTAGTAGTTCTTCGCTAAGGAATTTCCTCACCGGCAAATTCCTCAGTGAAGAATTTCATAAAAATCGCCTATTCACCCCTCCTCTAGTCGATATAACACACTTTCAAGACTTATGAAAGAAGACCATGAGGAAGAGTCTTTTTGGAACTTTTAGTTGTAACATGGTCTTTTAGTCCATGTTTAGTCCCAGGAACCAAACAGATAGGGACTTTTTAGGGACTAGCAACTTTTTAGTTGGGACTAAAAAATGTCCTAAGACTTATGAACCAAACAGGGCATTAGCACCGTCACTAGCCAAAACTGACGAAAGTGCCACATAGAAAACAAAATGAAGTTTGAGTGAAAACAAAATTTTGAACCAAAAAGGAAAGCAAATTTTAAGAAAGGGTCAAATAAGGAAGAGAAAAGTATAATTTTCGTCCCTCAATTTTTGGCGGAGTCTAGTTTTGGTCCCTCAACTCCAAAACCGGACAACTTGCACCCTTAACTTCTCAAACCGGACAAGATTCATCCCTGGTCACGGTTTTGACCGGTTTTGGTGCTGTCCCACCCCGGTTTTGACCGTTCCAACTCAAATAAGCCTACCTTTTCCAAGTGCACGTACTGTTTTCAAATTCAGTTACTTTTTTCAAATACGTGAACCTTTTTAAAATTTGTGTACTTTTTTTAAATATGCGTACTTTTTTCGAAGTTCATGTACCTCTTCAAATATGCGTATTTTTTAAAGTTCATTTAATTTTTTTTAAATTGATGTACCTTTCATATCCGAGTACATTTTTTGAATGAGTTCATGAATTTGAAATTTTATGCGAACTTGAAAAAAATACACGGATATGGACTTCTTTTGCGCAAAAATATGAGGATTTCAAAAATTATTTCAACTTGAAATAAGTACGTGAATTTCATACAAAGTTCATGGATTATAAAAGGAACACAGATTTGAAAAAAATGTGGACTTTGAAAAGCATGTGGATTTGAAATAAGTATGTGAATTTCAAAAACAGCTCATGGCTTTGAAAAATACTTGGATTTGATAAAATTACACAAACTTGGGAAAAATACGGGGATTTGGAAAAAGTACGTAAATGTTAAAATATCACGGATTTGAAAAAAGTATGGGGATTTCATAATAGTTCGCCAATTTGAAAAAAATAATATGTTTATTTTTTTTAAATAAGCGACCTTGAAAAAATTACGCGGAGTTGAAAAGTGTATGTGAATTTTAAAAAGTTCACGGATACAAAAAATACAGGAATATGAGTGAGCACCGATCAAAACCGGGGTGAGTCAACACCAAAAACCGGTCAAAACCGAGTCTAGGGACGAACCTTGTCCGGTTTCAGTAGTTGGGGGTGCAAGTTGTCCGGTTTTAAAGTTGAGGGACTAAATCTAGACTTCACCAAGAGTTGCGGGATGAAAAGTATACTTTTCTCAATAAGGAATTATCTCTCCAAAATAACTGTCGCAGCTTTGGACTAAGATTAAGCTGTGTCCTTTAATTTGGATCGGAGAGAGTAGTATTTTGCAGGAGTAATATAGGAGTACTCTGTCGGCTACGTGTGATCCTAAATTCCACCGTCATTCTACCGGAGACTGTAGACACACTTTTTTTCCGACAAAACCGATTGGCGATCATATGGACCTTCCGCCTACAGTGTGACCTTCCTTTTTCAAGAGAACAAACCCACCATCCGGCGGCAGACGGCACCTACAAACTTCCGTGCAACGGTGCAAGTGCGATCGGGCAAGTGCGTTGTGCGCTGAAACCCTCACTGACCTCCACCTTGGCCCGCCGTGCGAGTGCGATCGGCCGTCGGCCTGCGATCTCGCCTTTGGCGTGGGAGTCTTGCCTCTTTTCCTGGAGTCGATAGCCTAAGTGCCATTGGGGTTCCTTCCACCCGGGCTCGCTCGCTCGTATTAGACCAGCCACTCCCGGATTCAGACGGTCTATCTTGAACGCCACTTGCCTTTGCCTGGTCTATACGCTTCCTGGAACTGAAATACAATCTCTGGTCGAGATAAAAATCGCGCATAGGAGAACTTGGACTTGAACTGCACAACCGGCCTGCCTCAAAATTTACAGTGTTCAACTCTTAATAATTACAACTGGAGTAGATCAGATCATTACAGATGGCATTATCATTTCAGGAAGCTGCACAGAGCAAGCAAACGGCGGGAAACAAACAACGAGATGCATACATAGCATGCCCTGGTTTTAAAATATGGTCAGAGCATGGAAGCAACGTACTGTACTGCGTGACCAAGCTGATCTACTGCTGGTCTCAGCAGACAGCCAAGATGCCATGGCTGGACAGGGTTAAGCGGCACTGTCGGTGTGACTTGGCTCAACCTCACCACAGAAATGGCCCAAATATTAACCTTGGACTTACGACAGCCCAAGGCTGTAGATTCCAGCGATGCGCTCGTCCTCAGAGGACAGCCGGTCCTCGACCTCCGCGTCGGTGAAGGTGAGAGCTCTCTGCAACTTTTTGGGGCTGAAAACCTCTGTATCAACCGTGTACACGGCTTTAACGGGGCGGTGATCGGATAGCCTCATGTCAACCGTCTCATAGGACAATAACCTCATTCCCTTGCCGTACGAAAGAATTCGGTCGCACCTACAGAGGTAGTGGAGAAAAATTTCTGTTAGCACACACCACAACAACTTTGAGGTTTCTTTGAGGTTTATTATCTCCGACATCTTCATGGAGAGTGTAGTGAATCATGTAAAAGAAACAAGAAGTGTTCTTTCACAACCAACTTATGCGGGCCAAGTTAATATGTTCTAGTGGCAGTAGTTCATGTGTGGTGATCAGATTGCATACCATGAAGGTGTCCTTCTCCCAGATTTTGGCTCATCACTTGTGTACTTCTTCGAGTTAAACCGGTACTTGTATGTTGGAGAAAAGCTGATAACTCCTTCAGTCCACCCATCAAATAAACGTCCTTTCCTCAGTTCTCTTCTTAGCTATCATACAGGGGGAAAAAAGGTGAGCTGGAATATATGGAGAGGTATTTCACTATATGCTACCAAAGTTTACCTGGTCTTTCTCAAACAATCCATTCCAGTCGTGGTTGGAGATAAACTCATGTGTTTTTTCGTATGATAAGTTGATCCTATAATTCAGATCCCCTAGCCAGAATATCCTTCTGAAACAATACTAAATATTAGATGTCTATAAAGTTTTATGTCGCAAGGCAAACTCATGCGGTGCTTAACAACAATAAACTAGAATTTCCTACAGGTAAAGGTAAAATTTTCAGCGTGTATGAAGTGCAAACATATGATTTTCTGTGACAGTGATATGACTTCATGATTTGCTCCTTTCGCCTCCAAATATTTAAGTCTATACCAATACAAAAAGCACTAGTTTGCTGGAACCAAACATCCTCAATCATCCATCTACTTTCAATCTACCGACTCATGTTTTTCATTGGACCCTAGAAATTCGGCCTCAAATGCACACTAACTCTCATAATATATCTTCTTAAATTTGCAACACTAATTGCGGAATAACTAATCAACTTGGCAGTATCAGCGTTTTACTAGATTGCTCCATGGTAAACACCAAGGATATAAGGACTTCGATGGTTTTCTTGAATTACTTCCGACTATGTATTATGTGTTCTGCGAATTTTATGATTATAATTAATTTATTTGACTGTCATAGTCAAGGTTTTCAGATTCACCATTCTATCAAGCGATTCTATGACTTTACTATCCATATTGATTGGACCGATTCTACGATCCTGGTTAGCAGAATCTATGATTTTAAGATTCTATTGGTTATTTTCCTATGATTTGCCATCATACCATAGGGGTTTCGGCCTGATTTAAAATAGTGATTCTGACAACCTCCGTTATACTAGTGTTTAACGCCGCATGATCCAGGTAAGAGGCCATGAAAGCTTGGCACGCCCAAATTTTATTTGAAGGAAAACTGTAAGGGAGACCCCTACAGCATAAATAGGAATCCAAATTCGCGTTTGTGAGGACTTGAACCAATGTGGTGGGAATGTACATTCACTCGACCAACCAACTAATTTGGTGCATCCAAATTAAGTGTGTGCATGCTTCAGCAATCAAATTACCAATCCCTTGTCTACACCGGAGTCTATATTTAGTTTTTTAGCCAAACCATCCACATGGTGTACATCTAGTATATCTAAAAGAACATCTTGATCTGAATGTAATAAATTATCCAAGAGCTCACCATGATGACAACCAGTTTAGGTCACATGGGAACTTCAGGAAGTTGGAGGGTAGCATATAATTCTTGAAAGAAAAAAAAATATTTTTTACTTACTCGTGGTCATATATTGTCTTAGGCGTGCTCACTCTGGAATTAAATACTGTCCTTCGATGGATCTCTTGCACATCCGCATTCCTTTTTTGTTCATCTCCTTCCTTTTCTCCAGAGGTCAGGTGACAACAAAGAAAGCAGAAGTGTGTCTGATATATCGACATACTTACTGCTATTGATCCCTGGAGCATGTTGAAGTAAGAAAAATTAGGACAGCAGTTCATAATCCTTTTTTTTACAGGGAACACTTCATAATCAATACTAAAACATACTTTTTTTTAGAAAAGGAGGATCTCCCCCGGCCTTTACCAAGACATACTGATGTAAGGTAAATACAAATGATATGATACTGGTCAAGATAAAATGCATTCGGTGTAAACAAGAATGCACTCCTTTCCTTGCAGTATTTGGGTAGGTGGTAAAAACATATGAATCAGTGAAGGAATAAAATTGTCCTAATGTCTAATAAATTCAAAATGCATGCCATAAGTACATGCATTTTGGAACTCAGTTTATGCAACAATGTAAGTGAGAGTGATGTCATCCATAGAAACTTACCTTGTTACCAATGTACCCCATAGCACCTACACCTACAGTTGATACTTTCACATTCTGAATGCGCTTTCGCAGGCTCCTTCGTACCCATATTGTGAGAAATACTCCGACCATCTGCTTGCTTATTATCCTAACAAAGTATGGTCTTTTTCCTTTAGCTACCACACTTTCAATGTTTAAACCATGAAGTGCACTATCCTCGGGAAAAGCACAGGAATCTTCATTAACTGATTTGAAAGACAAATATGTTTTTAGTGCCTTCCCGGAAGCAAACGGTTGTGTGCTGTCTGGAAGACATTGAGCCAACATATCCAATGGTTGTTCTGGCCAAATCATTCCAAGCCTCTCCGAGTGACTGAGTGTCTTGGTTAACATCTTTTGGTTGATCGGCTCTTCCAAAAGAGAGGTGTAATCTTTAAAACTTACTATGTTATGGGATCTATTGAAAGTCTTCATTGAAGGCAACTTGCTGAAGTTATCAGCCTGTAGAATAGATTCGTCAGGAGCAGAAGTGGAGTGTTCAAGTCTGTTGCTATGACTATCATCATCATCAACAACAACTAAATCTTGTTCGTTCCATGGGTGCACTTCCCCACCACTTTCGCTGTCAGACTCGCTATTAAGTTCATCTTCCATTGCAAGAGCGTCATCAGATGGCTTGAACCTTGATGGAGATGGAGGATCACTGTGACTTTTATATTTTGGTTTATCTGGACTAATCTTATTCAGTGTTTCACGAATGATATGCTCCCACATGGAAGCAGGACGGTTGTCTTCCGCACCAAATATATTCCCAGCATTTAATGGAACAACTTCTTGAAATCTGAAATGTAAAAAGAATCTCATAATATGAAACAAGGTAGTGCTAATCTTAGTACATTCAAAATAAAATTAAGACCAGGTGATCAAACTCATAGGAGCACATATCATTTGGAGTTAAAGTGATAGCTCATGGCTTGATATTCTTTGTATTCAGTAACATGGGAGGTTCAGTTCTCAGAAATATAACGGGAGGTTCAACAAGTTACCCAAGAACATATATGTCAGCCGGCTCCTTCATATCCAACCATTCTTGAATATCCAAATCTTGAGGTGGAAGTTTGCCTGCAACATTCCAAGTTCCTATGCAGACCCTGAATATTAAACCCAACAGACTATAAGAAAAGACAGTAACAGAAAAAACATAGTACTCTCTCCGATCCAAAAAAAGTGTCGTGGCTGAAGTAAAGCCATGACACTTTATTTGGATCGGAGGGAGTAGATGGTACTGCTTTGAAGTCCTGCTACAAGGCAAGACAGATATCTGAACGAAAAGTGAGCAGTTATTTAACTTAACTTATACTATAACATAAGAAAAACAAACAGTTAAAAATTTGAGGTCTAGAAAATGCGAAATTTAAGGAGCATAGATCCATACCTCAGTTCCTTGACATCGATATACTGAGCACGAAGAGTCTCTGACTTGCGCCTTCTATTAAGACCGTATGGAACACCCTCCATTTGGCTATCTGCAGTATTGATAAGTTGTGTCACCACATAAGAAAAGCTATGTGCGCCTTTTCGAGAACAAGACTCTGCGTTGTGCCAACGGAGGTCCAGAGATAGGTCTTGTAAAAAATTGGTGAAAGGGTGTACAAGTATATATTTGCAGTATTGTTTGCCAGCAGTAGTACTTTAATTCACACCGAGTCCATAATAACAAAGCAAATATTCACAGGCAGATTCAAAATGTACACTATGGAAATACTAAGGCATTCAAGGGGAAAACAGTCACAAGCGGAAGAAGATTCAACATCAATTAAGTTTGCATGCAGCTATTAGTCACTAAGGTGGCCTATTTAATTCCAAGCCTAATTTTCATGTGCATATTTCTTTGGTACAACCAACAGTGCAACAATCATCTTCTGTAGTTCAAATAGTTCATTTGAAAACTAAGACATATGCTAGCAGACAACATGATAATAATTTACAAAAAGCATTGGATTACCAGTAGTCTGGGCACCCAATCCACGCATTCTCCGGTCCTGATCATATCGCTGGCGTTCCCATCCGCACATCTCTGCGCCAATATAATTATATATAAAAAAAATATTAGACTTTGGTTGAAGCTAGCTATGGACAGGGGTGCGTGGAAGCTTGCTATCCATGTGCCAGAGCCATGAGTTGGTTGCGAGATCTTATGGGTTTCACCTCTAGCCTACCCCAACTTGTTTGGGACTAAAGGCTTTGTTGTTGTTGTTGTTGTAGACTTTGGTTGACCATATCAACATGCAAACCTGAAGTCGAGAAAAGAAAGCGACCAAAGAGGCATGGACAACAGAATTTGCATGCATCCTCTTTTAAAAGTAGTATTTTGCTTTCTGCAACCTGCCTCACGTTGCAACTATGTTCTTGCAATACAATTAGAGCTTGATTTCCTTACTTGTTCCTTTTTTTTTTGTCATTCGAACTTGACTAGGAAAACTATTGAATCTGCTCAAACTTCATTTTTAGAGTAGCTTTTTACTCTTAGATAACGGAGGGTCCGTTTATTTTAGTGTATTCCAAGAAAGCGAAGGAATATACCGAGAACGGGAATTGGCTTAGGAGTTACGAAGCCAACACCAGAATGGACAAAACAGAAGGAAGGGACATTTGGAAATTCCTCGAAATCCACCGCCCTCCCACTAGTATTTGTTTTCTGGCCTGGAAGACAAGGGACGTACCGCCGAACTAAATGGATCAGGTGGTGGTTGAAAAGAATGAACCCGCCCCCACAGCCACAAACAACTCCTTTCTGGCAGAAAGAAATGGGCCGGGGAGGAAAATTAACGATGAAGAGCAGAAGCAGCGACGAACAGTGTGGAGTCTGGACTGGGATGAATCCGACCCGGATGCATTGGCCCATTCACTGAATTTGACGTCGAATTTGGATTTGTTAATTTGGGGATGGGGCCAAGCCAAATGAATGATAGCTTGATGGCGGGGGGCAGGTAGGCAGTTCATGGCGGAGGGGGCGGAAGGGAGCGGAGGGGATCGTGCACCTTCGTACTCGGAGTCGCTGTCGGCCTCGTCGGCGGTGTCGCCCTCGTCGGCGCTGAAGTCGGAGTCCGGCGACCGGATGTTGAGCCACTTGCGCAGCACCGTCTTGGGCCACAGCTGCGGAATCCAAGCCGAAGCGGATCAAATAGTACGTTACAGTCAGTCAGAGAAAACGAATTGAATAATAGCCTCAAACCGCCCGACCGATGATCCACAGTCCAACAAATATAAGGAACGAACGAGGGAGCACCTGGTTCTGCTTCTTGGCCTTGCGGCGCGCCTCCGGGTCGGCGCCGGGGTGGGCCGCCGCCGTCTCCGACTCCCCGAGGCGGGACAATGGCGGCCGAGGCGCCGGCGCGCTCCGCGTGGCCCGCGTGGGCGGGTACGAGTGCCTGGCCGCCATCCGCGCGCTCGCGCCCCGGCGGTCCCTTGCTTGGCCTTGGCTTAAGAAGGCGACGCCACGCAACAGCTAGTTAGAACCGCGGCCGTACTAGTCAGTGGAAACCTCTTGTGCTGCGCTGCGCGTTCCCTCTCCTTTCCTCTTGAGTAACAGGGGACAGACATGCTAGCGAGCGAATGGCGGGTCGGATTTATGCGCCTGGCTTCGGCTTTGGCTTTGGCTTGGCTCGAGCTGGCTGGCGGTGGACCGGACCGGAACCGAACCACTTCGTCAGTTATTAGTCTGTCAGTCTCTCTAGTAGGAGTGGTAGAGTAGATCTAGCCAGCCAGCCCGGTGGGTCGGGGTTGGACTCGCACTCGCACTCGCACTCGGTCAGAGTCAGAGAGGTCGCACGCGCGGCGACGTCCGTGTTAGAGTTTGAGCAGTTTACTCAATGTAATCTTAAACCTATCTCTATCTCTTTCTCTCTCGTATCCCTATCTATCTCCTATACCGAACCAGATTGGATTTCTTTCTGGTTTCTCTTGTACGCCAAGGCAAGGCATTGTTGCCCCATATAAATATACATGACGCGGCTCCCTCGAGGAGTAGGAACGCTTATACCAAATCTTACATGGTATACAGAGCTAGCCTCTTCCCTATCATCTAGCAACACAAAAAAAAATTCAGAACCCTAGCACCCTTCCATTGTCATCGTCATGGGCTCCAGCGCCGTCGGCCTCAACCTCGGCGCCCCACCAACAGAGAAGCTCGCGAGGGGGAACTACCTCCTATGGAAGGCGCAAGTTCTGCCGGCCCTGCGAGGTGCGCAGGTGACCGGTCTTCTCGACGGCAGCGATGCAGCGCCGCCGAAAACAGTGGAGGTCGCTAAGGCGGACAAGACCACGGCCATCGAGCCGAATCCGCTGTATGGCCCATGGATTGCCAAGGATCAGCAGGTCCTAAGTTATCTGCTAAATTCGCTCACTCCAGAAATCCTCGCGCAAGTTATTGGTAAGGAAAGTACCCTTGATCTATGGACTGCCCTTACCACGATCTTTGCTGCGCAGTCGCAATCGCGAATAACAAACCTGAGGATCGCCATCTCCAACACCAAGAAGGGCAACATGTCCAGCAACACTTTCATCACCAAGATGAAGAGCCTCGGAGACGAGCTTGCAGCAGCAGGTCGTCCGGTGACAGACGGAGAGATGGTGGACTACATCCTCGCCGGACTCGATCGGGATTACGATCCCCGTCGTTGCAGCAGTTGGCGCCATCAAGAATTCAATCTCTATTGATGATCTTTTCTCGCAGATTTCCGCTTTCGATCAGAGGATGGAGATGCTTGGCGACGGACCAGGCTTTCGTTCGTCAGCCAATGCCATGTACAGGGGCCGCGGCCAGTCTCGGGGCAGAGGAGGCCGCGGACGTAGAGGGCGTGGTCGCTCTGATCGTGCTCCATCTTCTCCTGTTCGCACCGGTGGGAACAACGGCTACCAGCAGCGTCAACGCCAGCCATCGCAGCAGCAGTATCAGCAGCAGCATGAGGAGGATTACCCCGAGTGCCAGATATGTTACAAATTCCATGCTGGTGGCGCTAGGGACTGCTGGGATCGGTACAAGGAAGATCGTCAAGAAAGGAAGAAGGTTAACCTCGTCACCAACTCGTATGGCATCGACACTAATTGGTATGCAGATTCGGGTGCCACCGAACATATCACAGGAGAGCTTGATAAGTTAACAATGCGGGAGAAATACCACGGAGGTGACCAAGTTCACACGGCAAGCGGAGCTGGTATGGATATTACTCATTGGTAACTCGATTGTTAAAACTCCTCAGAAAAATTTTCACCTCAACAATGTCTTACATATCCCTCATGCATCAAAGAATCTTGTCTCCGTTCATCGTTTTACACGTGACAATAATGTTCTCATCATATTCTACCCTTACTCTTTTGTGATTAAGGACTTGGCAACGAGGAGAGTCATCCTTAGAGGAAGATGCGAGGGAGGTCTCTATCCAATCACATCATCTTCTTCTCCGTCAGAGTCAAATAAACAAGCTTGGAGTGTCACCAAACCATCTTCAGAAAAGTGGCATCGACGCTTGGGTCATCCTTCTTCAGTTATAGTTCAGCATGTCATTAGCAAGAATAAACTTCCTTTTGTGTCTAGTATTGAGTCAGTTTGTGATGCGTGTCAACAAGCAAAAAGTCATCAATTACCCTATCCCATCTCTACTAGTGTGTCTACTGCTCCGTTACAACTTATTTTTTCAGATGTTTGGGGACCAGCCCCCACTTCAGTCGGTAAATTTTCCTATTATGTAAGCTTTATTGATGACTATAGCAAGTTTACCTGGATTTATTTGTCAAGAAGCGATCCGATGTCTTTCAAGTTTTTAGTAACTTTCAAAGTCTTGTTGAACGTCAACTGAACTCTAAAATTCTTGCCATGCAAACAGACTGGGGAGGTGAGTATGAGAAACTTAATTCCTTTTTTCGAAAAATTGGAATTTCTCATCATGTATCTTGTCTCCATGCTCACCAACAGAACAGTTCCGCTGAGCGAAAACATCGCCACATTGTAGAAGTAGGACTAGCATTGCTAGCTCATGCATCTATGCCTCTCAAATTCTGGGATGAAGCCTTTCTCGCTGCAACATATCTCATCAATATTCGCCCTAGTAAAGTCATCAAATTTGAAAATCCTATCACTCATCTTTTTGGTATTACTCCTGATTACACATCTCTACGCATATTTGGTTGTGCATGTTGGCCGAATCTTCGACCATACAACACACGCAAACTTGCATTTCGTTTCAAACAATGTGTTTTCTTGGGTTATAGTCCTATACACAAAGGAGTCAAATGTCTTGATGTCTCTACTGGCAGAGTCTATATATCTAGGGATGTTGTCTTCGATGAATCTGTTTTTCCTTTCAAGTCTCTTCATCCAAATGCCAGTGCCCTTCTTCGAAAAGAAATTCTACTACTTCCGGAGTTTGATCAAGGGGGTGATAACAATTGTTCTAACCAATGTGCTAATATTTCTTCTAGTTCTACTCCTGGTAATATGCCTGTGCAGGTGCATGAAGAAAACGGCGTTCAAAACGGTCAAGATGATCAAAATCCGGTACAAAACAATGCTATATTTGATGTGTATGAGGGAGAAGCAGCAGGCGTGGAGCACGAGGAGGATGCGGCGGCGCCTGCCACGCCTGTCCGCCGATCCGCCTTGGATCACGGGAGGAGATCTGCGCGGGATCACGCGCCTGTCAGCCGGCAGAGGAATCAGCCGTCCCCTGCCCGCTCCGCATCTGCCACGTCAGCGCGCATGCAAGGGACAGGAGAAGACACGGGATCTCCCTCGTCCAGCGCGCACATGCAGGGGACAGGAGCGCCAGGCTCGGGATTCTCTACTCCGGATTACTCTGTGGACTCGGTCTTCGCTAGTTCTGGTCAAGCCACACCGGGGTCTACTGGATCCAGTACATCAGCCCAGTCTGCGCACATGGATGGGTCGCCAGGATCTTCTGCCACCAGCCAGTCTATGCAATCTCCTGTGCAACAACAAGAACAGCCTGCTACTACTTCAAGGATCATGACCCGGCTACAAAAAGGTATTAGAAATCCTAAAATAAGAAGGGATGGT